GCCGAGCAGGTGCAGTGACCAGAGGTCCCGGAGGGGGGAGCCCGCCCCACAGGCCCGGGACTCAACCCCGGAGCGACGCCCCTACCGAGTCGGTGCCCTGTTGACCTTCCCCGTCGCCTCCCCCAAGGCCCTGCAGACCCCGCCTTCACCCCGGCCCGGGCAGCCTCTGCAACAAACAGCACCGCCTGAGGTCTCCTGCCACCAGCCCAGCAGCCCGTGTCCACCTCTGTCCCTGCATTTTGAGCCCCTGCCTGCAGCCGGGGAGCTGCCGGGCATCTCTTCCTTTGACTTATAGTCCATTGGGGGTGTGGGGGGAGCGGGTCCTTCCCTCCATTGGTCCATCCTCTCTCCCCCAGCCTGGACTGAAAGACCCTTCTTGTCCCTCCAGAACATGCCGGGGTGACTCCCTCCCAGACCTTCCTGGTGGCCTTCCTCGCCCTCCCCGGTGACACTATGCAACCCTCGCGTGACCTGCGCGGCCTCTGGCTCCTGCCGCTGCCCTGGTTCCTGCTCCTCGGTGAGGTGGCCAGAGCCGGCCGGGCGGGGTTCAGCTGCCCCGCTGTCTGCCTGTGCGCCAGCAACATCCTCAGCTGCTCCAAGCAGCAGCTGCCCAACGTGCCCCACGCCCTGCCCAGCTACACCGCCCAGCTGGACCTCAGCCACAACAACCTGAGCCGCCTGCGGGCCGAGTGGACCCCCACGCGCCTTCCCCACCTGCACTCCCTGCTGCTGAGCCACAACCACCTGCACTTCATCTCCTCCGAGGCCTTCTCCCCGGTCCCCAACCTGCGCTACCTGGACCTCTCCTCCAACCAGCTGCGGACGCTGGAGGAGTCGCTGTTCAGCGAGCTGCAGGCCTTGGAGGTGCTGCTGCTGTACAACAACCGCATCGGGCCGGTGGACCGCTCGGCCTTCGAGGACATGGCCCAGCTGCAGAAGCTCTACCTGAGCCAGAACCTCATCTCCCGCTTCCCGCTGGAGCTGGTCCGGCTCCCCAAGCTGACGCTGCTGGACCTCTCCGCCAACAGGCTGAAGACCCTGCCGGTGTCCGACCTGCAGAAGCTGCCCGCGTGGGTCAAGAACGGGCTGTACCTGCACAACAACCCCTTGCTCTGCACCTGCGAGCTCTACCAGCTCTTCGCCCACTGGCAGCGCCGGCAGCTGAGCCCCGTGGTGGACTTCCAGGAGGACCTGCACTGCCTGAGCGCCAAGAAGCCGCACAGCGTCTTCAACCTCAACTGCAGCGAGTACAAGGAGCGGGCCTGGGAGGCCCACCTGGGGGACACCTTGACCATCCATTGTGACACCAAGCAGCAGGGGATGGCCAAGATGTGGGTGACACCCAGCCACGAACGGGTGCTCGACGAGGCGGCCAACAGCACCGTGAGGGTGTTTGAGAACGGCAGCCTTCACTTCCAGAACGTGCAGGTCGAGGACGGGGGCGTGTACACCTGCTTCGCCGTGGGGGAGGCTTTCAACGAGACCCTGTCCGTGGAGTTGAAGGTGTACAACTTCACCTTGCACGGACACCACGACACCCTCAACACCGCCTACACCACCCTGGTGGGCTGTATCCTCAGTGTGGTCCTGGTCCTCATCTACCTGTACCTCACCCCGTGCCGCTGCTGGTGCAGGGGGGTCGAGAAGCCTGCCAGCCACCAAGGAGACAGCCTCAGCTCCTCTATGCTCAGCACCACACCCAACCACGACCCCATGGCCGGTGGGGACAAGGAGGAGGATTTTGACCGGCGGGTGGCTTTCCTGGAACCTTCTGGGCCTGGGCAGGATCAGAATGGCAAGCTCAAGCCAGGCAACACCCTGCCGGTGCCCGAGGCCACAGGCAAGGGGCAGCGGAGGATGTCAGACCCGGAGTCGGTCAGCTCGGTCTTCTCTGACACGCCCATTGTGGTGTGAGCAGGATGGGGTGGTGGGGAGGTTCTGCCCCAGGAGAGGTAACGCGCCCCTGAAGGATTGGAGGGGATGGAAGAGGGGGCTGGCTGCCCAAGGGCGTGGGTTCCCCCTGACCTCGAGAGCATTGGTCATGGGTACAACAGAAGCCAAGGCCCCCACCAGGGTGTGGCCGCCATGATTTTCAGATCTGGATCTATCAGTCCTCAGGCCAATGCTGCACCCTCCCCAGAGCCCCGGCATTCGTCAAGGCGGTGAAGGAGGAGGGGCGTGTCGAGTTGGGTGGGAGTGAGGAAGGGGTGGGGGGAAGAGCCGATTCCCTAACTTGTTCGAGGTCATCCCTCGCTCCTTAAGAGAAACTCATTTGGGGGGAATCTTTTTCTCTCTCTCTGCCCACCCACACCTGTGAGGTTGGGTGTGTTAGGGGAGCTTCCGCAGGAGCCACACTCCGTGGCCAGGGGGAAATTGGAAACCATTGGGAGAATGAGTCAGGAAAAGGTTGAGACCTCAATGAATAGCTCTCCCCAAGCTCTGAGACTTCCCCAATGCCTTCGTTTCTCCCAAGGAGCCTGGCTTGCTGCCTGTCAGAGATGGCGGCGAGGGGAGGTGTGGTGTCTGTGCCCTGTCCTGGGACCAGTGGCGCAGAGGGGTCCTCCCGAGAGCAGAGGTGCAGCACAAAACCAGGAGCACGAGTCTGGGGGCGCGAACTCCAGGTTGGCTCATTGGGTTCCTGCACCTGCCTGTCAGGCCAGGGTGGGGGCTGCCGAAGGCAGAGCTTTTATGGCTGGATGCCTGCCGGGGACGGGGCCACGTCACACGGGACGGGGAGGTGCCGCCACCTCTTAGGTGGCATCCTGCTGGTCCCACCTGACTTTCCGGGATGCCGTCTCCTCATCGGCTCCGGTGGGACTCAGGTTCCCCAGATGCTGCTCTGCGGAGGGTAGAGTCCTGGGACGCCTGGCCCCAGCTGGGTGAGCTGGGCAGGGGTCGTGGGGGGACCAGGTGTGTATCTCCTGTGTTGCCAGGGCTGCCTTGCTCCTCTCAGATCGCGCCCCTGCTGCAAAGCCACGCGTGGGATTCTGTAGCTGATGGGTTGGAATTTGGAGGTCTTTGCCCCAGAATGGCAGTTTGGAGTATGGCTTCGAGTTCTGTGTCTCCACGAGGTTCCAGGCCGTCTCGTAACGGAGATAGTGATGGAGACAGTCGGTGGCACTGAAGTGTCAGGAGGGGAGCTTTCAGAGGTCTGTGCAGTCGGGGTGGGCAGGCCAGGAACCTAAGACAGGCCAGCATTCCATTCCATCCACGGCTACAGAGCGCTCTGGGACGGAGGTGGCCACTCCCCCTCTGATGGTGTAAGCCCTGGGAGAGGGCTGCTCTGGGCTTGGTCAAAGGCATGAGCAGGGCGGAGGTGAGAATGTCCCGACGTTGGTCTGTCGCAGTCTGTCCCCTCTCTTTCCCCAGCTTCCCTGCCCAGTGTTCGTTCTCCAGATCTCCGACCTCCTTAGGTTCCCAGAGGTGTCGTTTGCCTGTGGGTGAGGCTGCTTGCGAGGAGGGACTGCCCCGCCGCCTGTGAAGATTGGGGACGGGGAGATCAGGGCTGCTGGTCATCCTTTCTTAGTGCCCAGTTTTGTCGAGAGGTGCAGCATC